CTATTCGATTGGCTTTAACTTCTATTTTGTTGGTTTTAGCTACTGTTTGTTTTGTTTTAGATACTCTTGATTTTAGCAACTATTTTGTTTTTACAAATGTTACCATATAATTTGTGTTCTGCTTATTGTAGTTTTATTTTAAGCGTTAGATTTTTATTGCACTTAACTTGCGTTTAAAGATTTGAACAGAGAAGTCAGATCTTCCAGTCACTCGGTCGTTAATGAACTTCCACAGGTTGAATTAAAGAACCTCCTGATGTTAGAAGATGCTCCTGAGCAGAAACAGTCCAGAGGAGCAGACCTCACCATGAACCCCGGCGCCTCCTGGACGTCCTGGCTCGGAACCGTGAGGAGCAGGATGGCCACCAGTCCGAACAGCAGGAGTGAGAGAGGGAGGACGGGAGGGGAGCAGCGCGGAGCCATGAGGAGCCTCCTCTCTGCTCCGCTGGAGACACGATCCGAGCGCAGGAGCTGCTGCGCGTCTTTACGCTTCACCTGCTGCCCGGGCCGACGCACGCGCAGACGAGTGCTCTTCTGGCCGTCAGAGAACCAGCAGCTCCAAGGCGACTGGAGCCCAGGAGGAGAAAAATGTGGCCAGATCTGAGTAAACAGGAGCCGCTGCTCCTCTGCATGCAGGAGGTGCAGCTGCAGGGTGGAGCTTCAGCCGCCTCCTTCAGCTCATTCCGTTTCATATTAAATGAAGGAAAAGGAACAATCAGGTGACCGTGGCCTCCAGCTGCTATTTGCATGTGAATGGAAGCAGCTTAAAGTTGCAAACTGTGCTCGTTTTTATGGCAGAGCCCGCGTGCACGAGCATGCGCAGAAAGAATTCGCTAATTAATCATTTACTCACCTCTCTCATCATGTATATATATATATATAGATATACATATTTTTATTTTCTTCAATCATTTCATTGTCTTTCATATCAGAACAATGGTTTTATTTATTCTTATTTATTTAGTCTTTATTTTCCTGAAAGCTTTAATTTGCTTCAACGTCATTTTTGCCTTTTCAGCCATGCGCCTCCAAAACTATTCACCCCTTTGGATGTTCTTACACTTTCACTGCCGTCATGAATCCATCATGGTTTAGATAAATCGGCCTTAAAATAATCATTAAATGTCAAAGTGATATAAAATTTCTACTGAGTAATATCAATTACATAAAAATCTATCATGTAAAATATGATTGCATGTATTTACTGTGTTCAAAGTCGACCGGTCACGATAACAAATGTTGCTGGGCGATTAATTGTCTCAGAAATTATTGCGATAAACGATAATATTGTTTGAAATTTGACAATAATTAGTAATTATTGTCAAATTTAAGAAATGTTGGTTAATTTGTGTGCATCTTTATTTGACCACCTGACGACAGTATAAGACAGTTTGAACCGAAGGATGGATAGTGAGGGAGCGAGCAGCGTGTCTCTTTAGGAAAAATGGGAGGGAGGCCCCTTGACGTGACATGGGCTGTCTCTCTTCAGGTTCTCAAAATGGCGGACGCTCGGTGTGGTTTGAGCTCTTTAGCATAACATTTTTCACACAAAGCTTTTAATAAAAATAAAAAATAAATCTGTAAACAAGTTCTCGGCTTCTTTTTGCAGAGAAAAACAACTTTTTAGAAGAAGGCACGGGTTTCAACCGTGAATTTTGGAGCTTCGACAAGACAGAGGTTTTTTTGCTGAGGTCGACCTGTTAGCTTGGCTGCTTTTAACGATCCAAAAACCTGATTTTGGATCGTTAAAACAGATTTTAAAGAGAAAAGATAAAGAGAGGGGTCAGTGAAGAACCGGAGTTGAACCTTTTATCTTCCAGTGTCTTCAGTAGAAAGAGAGAGCCGAAGAAACGAGTCGATAAATGAAAACGAGGTCGACAATTCTCATTTATTGTACGATTAATTGATTTATTGTTTATCACGACAGGCCTAGCTCAAAGAAAATATTATTCAAACGTATACGAGTATGAACGTGTTGTTAAATCCATCACCAATGAACGGGGCATGTACGTCCATGTTTACAGGTGAACAATCAAACAAAACACCACGATCACACGGTAATGCCGCGTTGGTTGAACCTGCGGTAGTTTCGGCATCCGGTCACTAGGTGGCGCTCTGGTTTTTGTACTTCGAGATTCGTGCAGACACTTTAGCCTCGAGCATGAAAACAGACACATCCAAAACGGTGACTACACGATCGTTCGTTTGGACCTAGGATGCGGTTGGCTTGCTCCAACATGTTGAAAAGGATGAGCACAAACAGCACTCTTCTATCCGCCATTTTTTTTAAATTGCCCGTCATTTACTTTTGCAGAAAAACTGTTGACTGCAGCCGTCTGTGGTGTGTGCACAGCTTCCCACCAAGGGCACTTCCAAAAACGTTCACTCAGACCAGTATTCCAAAAACTTCAGTTTCAGAGAAAGTGCTGCTGCGTTCATGAGCGACGGGCAGAAACGCTACGGTTGCTCTAAAAAACAGTGATGTGCAAGAAAACCTCGCAAAAACTGGGCGACCGTGCAAGAGGGAGAAGACACCCGTGATTACTGGAGTTACAGCGTTAGCAAATAAGATGGGGGAGACTGAGCATCTAACCACTGTTGCCTCAGTTCACCAGTCTGAGCTTTATGGGAAAAAGGCGAAACGAAGCCACTGTTGGAAAAAAAACTATTAAATCTCAACTTGAGTTTTCTGAACGAGTTCAATATTTAATTTAACTAATTTACCAAAAGGTAATTGTCCTTGCGGAGTGAAGAGGGGGGAGTTGGAAATACCGTCAGTCCATACTGTGAGCTGGATGACTTGGGAGGGGGGGCATTAAAAAAAGCAACTTGCCGACTTCAGTTGTGGTGTGTGGCGGCAACGAAGCGTAAGAAAGGTCACCGTCAAAATACAAAACGGCTACCACCACGCATAAACAAATACATATACTGCGTGTACTTTACTTTTCGCCTGATAAGTTGCAGTTTTTTGCATAATTTACATGCCCTGTGACTTATACGCCGAAGCGACGTATTTGTTATTTCCCACTTGTTTAGACATATTTGGACTGATGTGGCTTATAGGGCGGTGCGACGTGTACGGCGGAAAATACGGTATCTACATACGTGTATATATATATTTATGTGTGTAAACTAGCCACTTTAATCATTTGAATAAACTATGCGTTCTAGTTTTTATTTTGTTTTAAAGTATAGATTCCTTAAATGATTGAGGAGCTCAAAGATTACTCTAAAATGTTCTTGGCCCCCATTGGCCACCCCCTGGCTCCGCCTCTGCACCTGGTGGTGGATAAAATGTCTCCCTCGTCAGTTTCGGTCTCAGATAAAAATGGAATAAAACTTCTCTGTTCTCCACAGTGCGACTCCTAGCCACTTGCATCAAAAACATTTAGGTTTACCTGCATTCCCTGTTCAACCCAGTCCACGGCCTCAGATTTGGAGGTGCTGATCCTCGTCCCAGCTGAAGAGCCGCTCCGTTCACAGCCGAAGCCAACAGGACCACATCAGCCGCAAAGAGCAGAGCAGGAATTAATCATCCGCCTTCAGACGGTCGTGATGAATTAATGTCACGTGTAATTTAATTACAGATTAAACTCGGTGACCGCATGTTGCTCCCGTGTTTAATTAACATGTCAGCTGCTGAAAGTTCTGATTTACTCTCAACTTTCATCCGTTTGTATCTAAATACCAGTGGAAGAGATAAAATACGTTTCAGCTGATTTTTTTTTATATATTTTTGTAATAAATGTAAGTTAAAGGGTAACAATGTTTACTTCCTTTGCTTGTGCGTACATCAAGTCACTGCTAATTACAGAATAAATAAAAAATAGAGGTTGGTTTCTGGTCGCGTACTTCCAGGAAAAGTCTAAATTTCACAGCTTAGATTTAACAAAAATCGCAGATCTAATCTTAATCCATTTTAAATTAAACAAATGAGCATCCAAACAAGTGTTTTTGATCAAAACGACTAAAAGTCTCCTCATAACACAACATAAAATAAAGCCTCATCTATATTTTGTTCAGCGTTTTATTTCCAAGATGAGTTACGGTAATTGCAGCTTTTGGATTTTCTTCTCCGCAGAAGATGGAAAGTACTTTTTACCTTTTATACGTCACAAATGATGAAACAAAAGTAACATTTTGAATTATTTAAAATGTCCAATATGAGCAAATTACTCTATAAAAACTTAAAGAAAACGGCGAAACTGCTGCTCGTTATAAAACTTGTTGTTCGTGATTGAAAGGACTCGAACGCAGAACGGAGAGAAGACAAAGACGCCACAAAACCGTAAAACCTGAGGCAGATCAGCCCAAGAAAGTAAAAACACCTGTAGCAGCTTCCAGTAAAAACATGTTAATTAGAGAGTGGATGCAGCTGAGCAGATTAGCAACCTTGTGGCAAAAATAGGAACACAAGCGGTACACCAATGTCCCCCGACGCTAAACGCTTTGAACAGTGAACGTTTGTTTTGGAGAATTGAACAGAGAATTTAAGTAAACCTAAATGTTTTTAGTGAAAGATGTTCAAGCGGGTAGAAGTTACTGTGAAGAAGAGGTTTTTGTTTTCTTGTCCAAGGCGGCGCAGCGTGACGGATCCTGGAGGTCTGCGCAGTGGTGGAGCCAGGGGGTGGCCAACGGTGGCCGTGACCACCATAAATCAATCTTTGACCACTTCAACTGTTTGAAGAAACTCTTAAATATAAAAACTAGAAAGCATAATGCAGTTTCCACAAATGTTTCACACACGGCGCTCAAAAGTTTACATACCATGGCCGAATTTGGGATTGTTTTGGACATTTTTTATTTTTTAGCGAATATGAATTCTGTTTATTTAAATCGCGCTAAGTCACAACAGAAGTCGTCTCAGGGCACTGAACAGAAAAATTCATATATAAAAATAATAAATTAACACTAGAACGTTCCTGGAGAAACTTTGACAGGGGCTGCCCATTCATTATTAAAAATAAATCTTAAAATTAATAATTATTAATACATTATTATAAACATATTAATAGTTAACAATCAATATTGATAACAGTAACTTTAATTATTTGTATTAATGTTAATATTTGTTATAATTTATGCTAATTATTATTACTAATTATTAATAACAGGTTAATTATTAGTATTAATGTTAACTATTATTACTAATTAACAATAATAACAGGTGCCTTCCATGCATGTTGAACCAAAATGGCTCCACACGTTCCTCAGTTTCTGTTAAGTTTTCTCCTTTCATTTCCTATGGGAAATTTAGCATCTTTGTTAGCAAAATATGTTGCCATGGTAACTGCGAATGCCAACGAAAGTAATAGCACACTTCCCGGAGCCGGGCCGGTCGTTTTGATACAACTTTCGTGGGGGTCCACGCTGCGGTTCGGGCCGCATTAAAGTCAAAAGAGCAACGCTTTTCGGGTGTAGAATAATAAGTGGACTGTCACCAACTAGTTCCTGGAGTTGGTGAAATATCGCGTCTTTGTTCGCAAATTACGTTGTCATGGTAACCGGAAACACCAATTCAGTTTATTTATATAGCGCCAAATCCTGAGCAAGGACAGTGGCGACAGTGGAAAGGAAAAACTCCCCTTTAAAAGGAAGAAACCTCCAGCAGAACCAGGCTCAGGACAAGCGGCCATCTTGCCTAGGGTTCACCTCAGTACGGTTCACAATAATAAAAATGTGTGGTCTCCCTGTAGAACTTCGGCATGATGCTTATGGCCTGTATCTTTCAAGGAAAACCTTCGGCTACTAGAATTTTAATCCTTTTCTTTCCGTCGGCTGACGACTTTGCAAGACCGCGGTCTTTGCACTCCTTAAATAAAAAACAATAAACCCACAGTTGGACTTGTCAATATATTTTATTTACAGCCGTATAAACAGGATGATTCAATGCAAGCTCTTTACTGGAAAAATGTAAGAAACAAGCGTCTCCTCGAGTGCATGTGTGTGCATGTTCGTGTGTCGTGCATGCCCGTGTTATCGTAACATTCTCGGTGCAGGCGCAGAAAAACCTGCTCGTCTTCACAAAGCCAGAACTTATTTACATTTCGTTCAGTTTAAGTGTTTCACACGGCCGTACAAAGAAACCAAAGCGCTGGTTGGGACACGTACGCATGCACGAGTATGAGCAGGGTGACGGGAAAACAGCCAAAACGCAGAGTCAGGAGATAATTGGCAAATCCGAGTGCAGTCGTTGGGTAGTTCCAAGTGAATCAGCCTACGTTTTTTTAATTGTTCTTTTGGGAGACCTTTCGGCGTAAAGTGCAGTGCAGTGCCACGACTCCGGAGAGGACACGAGCTCGGAAACAGCGGTGGTTTCTCATCTCCGGAAAATGGGAAACGGCCCGTTTTTGCAACCAACCGGGGACCTGCACGCGGTTTTCAACTCACTCTGGGTTCTCCGTGCAAAAGCTCCCGGAACGGGTTTTTTTTGCACGAAAGACCCGAGCGCTGGTTGGATGGAAAAACCTGGCCCTTTGATGCAACCCCTTCCAACGCTGGAAATGAGAAAGACTGCTGCTGCAGGAACGAGGATCGTCAGGGCGCCCCCCAAAAGGCCTCAATCGTTGAACTAAAGCAACAAAATGCTGATTTTCAATATATCTTCTTACTTCTTTTTATAAATAGTGCAAAATAACGGGGAGTATATAGAATGTCAACATTTACAGAATCTCCTATAAAGCCTAAAAAAAAAAGACGTTCAAATACGTAAAGCTGTTTTTTTTACAAGCACACATGCTTTTATCATGTAGACAAGGCAAACCTTAATTTTAGTGCCATCATAGAGCGTCCCAATAAAGAATTTTTATTCTAAAAACGTTTAAAGTGTCGATAAAAACACAGTTCCTAATAAAAATAATTCATCTCCATTGAAGCTTACAGTACTTCTCGTATTGCACTACGTGTTCTACTTCTGCAGTATTTAGGCCCTAATTTAAAGTGATATGTCAGGTAGAATATTGGCATCGAACAAATTAACCGTTTCAAAATGAGGCGAACTAGCTCTAGTTGTAAAAACATCAAAGGTTCGGGTTACGTGAGTAAAAGGACTAAACAAGCAAGTTAAGCTGATAATATATAGAAGGAAAAGATTGTTTATGTGAGGCGAGTATTTTTTAAATTCCTGTGCATGCTCAGCGATCCTACAAACATCTATGATCAGATCTTTTTTTTTTTTTAAAAAAGGTGCAAAGTTCAGAGTTCACTTCTTCACGAAACGGTTTTCCTTCAACCCCCCGAGGCGTCGACTTGGAACCGTGGAGTCGTCGCCCTCCGCTTCTTTTCCTCACGCGCCATCTCGTTTCCTCTCTCCTCGCAGCGCGCGGTCCTGTTCCTTTTGTTTCTTCGGCGTTGCGTTTACACCACGGTGCTGACGGACGGGTCAGACAGGTTGAGTTGGCCCGTGGCGTCAGTCGGTGGGAACTGCTGCAGAGGTGAAGAAACACGGAAGCAGAGGACGTCAGGAGACACAAAACGCCGTCGGGTCGCCGCCGCAAACGCATCGAAACTGCACTTTGACTGATTCAGGAGCAGTTGTTGGAGGTTCGTGCAGAAGCAGGACGGTGCTCTAACTGATCTCAGGCCACCAGCGTTTCCCCAACCGTGTAGCGCTAAGCTAGCAGCGCACAATACAGACGCACCAGCTAAAGCTACAGACGTAGCGCTCTTCTCTCACACATCCCCGCCCTTTGACAAGTGACGGCACTGACGTAGCGCTAAGCTAGCAACATAGATGCCCCCCCCCCCCCCCCCTACATTGACAAAAATCCCCCGAGATGAGTGCCCTGCCAAGGAAAGCGACCTGGGGGAAACACTAGCAACTATTAGTGTGAATGCTGAGTCAGCAATCTCACGTTTGTCGTGTCTTCTGTGAGTTTTCTCCAATCAAACCACAGTTCAGGCTCTTTTTTTTTTAGCCGCTTATCGATCAAAACCTTCGGCTCATTCAGGACGTGGCTACTCTGACGTTCAGTTTTTGTAACTTTTGTACTTTTCAAAAAACCTTTTAGATTTTATTCCTTTAGAAACGTTCTCTTTGGAATTTGCTTCAGCGTACTGCCTCGTCTTCTTTGTCTTCTGGTTCTCGTAGATTATTGTTTTATAGCTTTTAACTAAAACTTTAACCATTTAGCTTTAGCATCCCTTTAGCTATGTTATCTATTTCGCCAATTTACCACCCGTTCTGGCTACAGTTTATTAATTCTAGCTACTATTTAGCTTAGCTTTATTATCTGTGCCTCATGTTTTAGCAACAGTTTGATAATTGCAGCTGCTACTTAGCTTAGCATCTGTTTAGCAAATTTTACCATTAGCATTAATTTAGCTAATTTTAGGTTTATCAGCTGTTGAGAAAGTTTGGGATTTAGAATCTGTTTTGCTAATTTTAGCTAAAGATAAGAAAATGAAAAGATTAGCGACAGTTTAGCAAATTTCAACTTTACCTTATGCTTTGCACATTTTAGCTACTGTTTTACATACGTTAGCTTCAGTTTAGCTAATTTAAACATTTGGTTTTGTTAATTTTAAACTTACCATCTGTTTTGCTAATTTTAGCTAAAATTTTGCTATTTTTTTTAAATCTATTTAGCCAACTTTGGATTCTGCATCCTTTGATGATTTTAGCTTTAGCTACTGTTTTGCATGCTTTAGCATATATTTGGCTCGTTTTGGCATCTGCTTAGCTAATTTTAGCTTCTGATTAGCTAATTTAAGCATTTGGTTTTGCTAATTTTAGGTTTACTGTTTTGCTTATTTCAGCTAGTTGTGCTAATTTTAGCTACAATCCAACAATTTTTTTTAAATCTATCTTATGAATTTTAGATTCTGTATCTGTTGATTTTAGCTTTAGCTACCATTTTGCATGCTTAACATATATTTAGCTGATTGTGCTTTGCTAATTTTAGCTAATGAACAAATTAAAAGATTAGCGACAGTTTAGCAAAGTTCAACTACCTTATGCTTTGCACATTTTAGCTACTGTTTTACTAATGTTAGCTTCAGTTGAGCTAATTGAAACATTTGGTTTTGTTAATTTTAGGTTTACCATCCTTTTAGCTAATTTTAGCTAAAATTTTACAATTTTTAAAATCTATTTAGCTAATTTTGGATTCCGCATTTGTTGATTTTTGCCTTAGCTACCGTTTTGCGTGCTTTAGCATATATTTGGCTTATTTTGGCATCTGCTTTGCTAATTTTAGCTTCTGATTAGCTAATTTAGGCATTTGGTTTTGATAATTTTAGGTTTACCATCTGTTTTGCTCATTTCAGCTAGTTTAGCTAATTTTAGCTATTGTTTTGCTATTTTTAACATCTGTTTTACTAATTCTTGATTCTGCATCCGTTGGATGATTGTAACTTTAGCTACTGTTTTGCATGCTTTAACATATAGCTGATTATGTAATCTGCTTGCTAACTTTAGCTTCTGTTCTGCTTGTTTCAACAACTCGGTTTTTGTTTATCCACCAAGTGTCAACAGAACTCCTTGAGGACTCAGCATTCACGCTGCATTTTTACCAAAATAAAAATATTTTCCGGTGTGACTTTGTGCCTGAGATCGGCTAGTCGGGACCAGGCGAGAGTCTTGCCAACAGCGAGCTCCGTTGTCTTGTAACCCCAGCGACACGACTGGGCGATCGTCCTTTCCTGCCTCCGACCCAACGGACTCATCTGTATCTGCGGAGTCGTTTTGCATTTAGGCAAACAGGCAGCGCCTCTAAATTTAGCAGCTCAGGATGAATTATTGACTGGTTTCAAAGTGCTGTTGTGTCAGACTCTTCGGTCCGGTCCCTCCGTACTCGTGCTTCTAGAACCATCAGCCGAAACGTTGCTGTGAGGAGAAGCACGAGCCCAGCTTCATGCATGGTTTCTTCTCTTCCTTTAACACTAATAGCAATCTGCTTTTGAGTTGGAGGAATTGCTCAGATCTTCGGTGAAAAGGTTGTGAACAATCAATATCTTACCTGCAGTGGATAGCTCTTTGAACAACCTCAAATTGGAGAAATAATGTTTAATTCTAACTGCATTGCTGAGTTAATGGCTAGTTTGAGTGAAGCCCAGACCAACGTGGAACCATAACAAAAAAAGTTGTTAAGAACCTGCAGGAAGTGCTACAAATAGCTGCTGCTGCTATTTGTGCTTATAAATAACCATCCAATGGCTTCTGTGTCATTTGAGGTCAGGTTCAGGTTCTGCCTCAGGATCTTGGAAAACTTCCAGAGGCAGGATGCCAGAACCACCTCAGCTGAGCGATGATGGAGCTCCTCAACCCATCTCATCTCAGCAGTGCTGCCAACGCTGTAGAAAAAAAAGCCACTGGCTGTCCTACAAGTACAATCTGCACATTTGGTTGTACAGGTGCAATTTGCTCTATAGGTGAGAGGAATAATGTTACACGAGACAAAAAGTGAGTTAAAATCCACCACATGGAGAAAACTCGTGTAAGCTACAGATTGGCCGCCTGGGCGTTGTGGAGAAGTTCGAGTACTCGATGACAGCAGTCCACTTTGGTCCTTGTTTAGTTTTCAATCCAATCAGAACTAACCCGAGGTTGTTCAAAGACCCATCTGCAACAGGTAAGATGTTAATTGTTCATCAAAGATCTAACCCTCCCCTCCTTTTTGAGGTTACTTTTAAAACGGAATATGAAAAGCAATAAATTAAACCTTTTAAACTTCATCAGCTGCAGCAGTGTGGTTTTTGCACGAGTTAAAAACTGAGGGGACTGTTGTCCTTCAGCTAAACTCCACATTAGAAATGATAAAACTAAAACAACAGAGCGAAGCTGCAGTCCTGCTCACTGAACCACCGTATTGGGTCTTAACTGGTAATTTTGCACCAGCACATTCAAGCGATTGATGTCATGATGCAACTAACAAACTGAGCAACATCCAGACTGATTTTGTTTTTGTTGAAATCTGCAGGAATCAGAGTGGATGTCCCTCACCCCCCATGACCCACTAAGTTGCATCATCATCGTGAAGCTTACAGCCCTCGTTTGGTTCTTCTCGTGCCTTTTTCCTGCTAAGAGCAACCCCTACTGGAGTCAAGTGGACCAGTTAAAAATAAAAACACTTTACTGACAACACAAGCACAGGTTTTGCTTATCAAGCTCTATCAGACAATCTACAGCGTTTCTACGGTTGCTACAGCTACGACAGGTAAAGTAGTCAGCATGCTTGCAGAGGAAGAGAGGAGCAGTGTGGCATGTGGGTGAGGGACACTGACACTTAAGTCCATTAATATCCATTAATATAAAAGAAGAACATTGATATAAAATTAAAATAATGGTCAAAGACTGAAGATGGTAGGTCTTTTAACAGCATATTCTTAAAAAATACACTAATGTCTATTTAAAGGGGCAGTATTGATGAGTTAAAGGGCCATTTTGTGAAAGGGTTACGAACAATAAATGTGTAAAAAGCTCTAAACAACCTCAGTTTGGAGAAATAATTTAAATCTGACTGAACTCATGAGCTAACAGCTGGTCTGATCAAGGCCAATTAAGTGGATTGTCTTAAAACAACTCTGATCTTTACAAAAAATTAAAGTTTTTTATTTTTTTCCATGCAAACGTCGCTTTATTGTCTTTACATAGTTGTTAGTTTAACATTGCACAGCTAATCCATTAGAAATAGATGAAACATGACAATGTTTCTGCTGGAATAACCAGGTGAAGTGCTGCAGCTAGCTACTGATGCTATTGTTTACATTTGTAAAAAACTACAGAATTGTGGGTAATTTAATTCAGTTTAAAACATTTCAAGCAAACATTGATTAATAAACCTTTCTACCACCAATAATTAAACAATGCATGGTTATTTACATTTATGTTTGCAGGCATTTGGAAATGCAAACGGTAACAGCTAAAGCTAGCAGTAGCATGCTGTCTGGGGTACTTTCTGCAGAAATGTCATACTATTATGTAAAAAAAAAAAACAAAGCAGTATAAAGTTTTATAAATTAGATGCAAGTTGAGTAGAGATTAAGTAGAGATTTAAGTTCTCTTAAGGCAACAGCATTACATTTTGGTCTAGATTGTACTCAGATTAGCCGTTAGCTTAATCGTTTTTGGTAGCATAGTGCTGTCTGGGACACTTCCTGCTAGAACATTCGTAATACTTATGCCAAAACAATTTATTCCAACACTTAAAGTGTAAAGCTTTACAAATTAGTATTCTCATAAAATGCTCCAAAAACTTCCAAGTTTAGAGTAGTTTTAAGACGACCAGATTTTATTTTGTTTTTGTTTAGATTAGCCGTTAGCTTGTTTGTTTTCTGTAGCATAGTGCTGTTTGGGACACTTCCT